CCGCCGCCCCCAACACACACACCTCCGGTGGCCTGCCAGGAATGTCGCCAAATGGCGACAGCCCCTCTACCTTTACGGCCACCGCCCAGGCTTTCGGAGCGTCACTCAAGTGCGCGTCTGCTCCGCGCACGGGCGCCCCCAAACCGGGTCCGAGGGGCCGTCTGCAAAGTCTGACCCGGCTCTTCGCCCACTGCGGCAGAAGAGTCGGGTTTTAAACGTAGGGAATCGGCTTGTTATAAACATTCATTCATTCATTCATTCAATTCGCCATTTATATACTGAACGCCAGACATATGCCAGACACCGTTCTTGACTCTGGAGATACTACACAGAAAAACAGACAAAATCCCTGTCCTCTTGGAACTTACACTCAAGTGGGAGGAAAAAGAATTCATAATATCATGTACTGATAAATGATATGAGCACAGTAAAACGGGAGAATGTAATGGCAACAGACTAGGGTCGTCAAAGAAGGCCTCATTGAGGCGGTCCCACGATGGAGACATAAAAGGATGAGAATAAACTGGGGAAAGAGCACTCCGGCCAGGGGAAACAGCAGGTGCAAAAGCCCTGAAAGAGGGAAAAGTCTGCTCTACCCCGGTTGAATCCAAGGCAGTGCGGGTAAAATCCAGAGAGGTAGGGAGAGTGGTAGGGCGGAGCTTGGAGCTCTAAGCAGGGTCTGAAGCGGAAGCATATTATTCCACAGAAGCATAATAAGCGTAGTGATGACAGTTGTCACTGTGAGGGCATGCGCTGAGAAACACAGGGCTTGACTTCTCTCCTGAAATCCTCCCAACCTTGCTTTGAGATGGGTGCTCTTATTATTCCTAGGGGGCTCTGGTAGCATAGTGCCTAAGACACTTGACTACTAACAAGAAGGCTGGCGGGTCAAATCCACCAGTCACCCCTCGGAAGGAAGGGTGGGCAATCTACTTCCATAGTGATACCACCTCGGAAACCCAGGAGGGGGTCTCTATAAGTCGGGTCCGACTGGAGGGCACATAACAACAACAACAACATTATTCCTAGTGTACAAATGAGGAAACTGAGGCTTACCAGGGAGAAGCAATTGACCCAAGCCTTGCAGTGACCTGTCTCTCAAGGAAAAACCCTTGACCACTGATTTGTGACTGCTTCTTCATTCCATCTGGACCCTAATGCTCAGCTTGCAGGCAAATTGGTATCCTACCCCCACCACTTGAGTGTGGGACCCATACCCAGAACCAGTGCTTCAAGATCACCCTCAGCCCAGAGGAGCTCAGAGCAGTCACCAGCCTCCTGGTGAGGAGGCAGTAGGGCCAATCCCGGCTTCAACTTGCTACCAATTGAATTGGAGAGGCAAGTGTGTGAGACGTAGACACATCAGAACCTGGGGCACCTCTGGGAATGTTGGAAGCAGCAAGGAAAAGAGAGGACTTCGCCAGCATTCTCTGAGAACCCATAATAACTCCACATTATATTCCTAAAGTGATTTGTACTTTTTTTTTTTTAATTGTGATTTAGGTGCAAGTTTACAGAGCAAATTGATTTTCCATCCAACGATATATACAAACTTTGTTTTGTGACATCCATTGCAATCCCCACAGTGTAACAGAATTCTCTCCACTTCCTCCCTGTATTTACCGTTTCCCTGCATCTTTCCTTCTCTCCCTTCCTGCCTTCTTAGCTTTACCCCTAGGTAAATGCCGCCCTTTTGACTTCCTATGGTTGATTGTTCTGAGTTCATACCTTCCTGGTATTACTACCTTATAGGCCTATCTATCGTTTGGCCAACAGAGTGGTAGCCAGGCACCATCTAGTCCTTCTGGTCTTGTGGTCGTGGAAGCTGAGGAATTTATGCTTTTCAAAGTGGTGAGTGTGTTTTTTTTAACTGCTTAAGTAGGAGGCTCTAGAGGCAGACTGTCTGGCTTCCCTAGCTCCTAACTCTTCCATCCTTAGCTGTGTGACCTTAGGCATGTCACGTAACTTAGACATATTATTGTGCTTCAGTAAAAAGGAGAATGTGATTAGTAACAATTGCATCAGGTTGTAGTGAGGATTTAAGTAATTCGTGTAAAGTCTGGCACATACTCTATAAAGGCACGTTGCTGTCGCCTGTTCTTCCCAATGCTCTGGGAGATCCAATGGGAGAGGAAAGGCTTAAATACCAAAAAGGAAAAGCAAAGAATTTCGACTCAGACAAATGTATGTTTAGATCTTGGCTTGGCCACTCCTGGCTGAAGCTGGTCCAGTGTCGTCCACCCCACAAGGATGTGGTGCAGATTAAGTGAGATAGTGCAGGTGAGGGCCTGGACCAGGAATCTCAAGGTAACCGGGATAATCTGACCTGAAAATGCTTTTTGTTTGACCCACGCAATGTCTCCTGCCCCACGATCTTTAATAAACATTTTTAAATACACAGAAAAATTGACAGAATAGTACCAGGAACACCTGTACGACTGTCCACCTGGATTCAACAATTGTTATCATTTTTCCAGATTTCTCTATCTATATTTAAATGTTTACATTTTTTTGCTGAATTATTTAAAAATAAGTTGTTTTGTGCCTTGATACAACAGCGAAAAATCCGGAGAAAAATGACATTCTTCTGCTCACCTGCAGGGAGACTGTCGTGCCTAAGAAAATAGTCACACCATAATATCCCGCAATAATCGGTCCATTCTGAAGTTTCCCCCATTTGCTTCTTTTATAACTGTTTTCTCTTACAGTATACAATCAAGGTTGTACATTGCATCCAAAATGGAAATGGTATTATTTCCTAGTGTTTGTTAACCTACAATAGTCCTTTATTGTTTATTATTTTCCCTCCACATTTTATTTCAAAATCTTTTCCTTTACAGAAAACTTGAGAAATAGTATGGTGAATACAATGTGATATTTTCGTTTGTCTCTTTAAGTTGTTGTTGTTGTTGTTGTTTGCCATCGAGT